AGGAAAGGGCTGGAGGAACAGCAAATGCATTTAAGTTTTCAAGTTTCTCCAAATTTCAACAAATTAAACCCAGATGATGTAAGGTTTCTTAAAATGTGTTAAACATTTAGCTTCATCCAGTTCTCACAACCCCATCACAGGAAGAAAGTTAAGACTTCAGAAAGCACAAGTGATCACACTAGAAACTGCTATTTTAAAGCTTTCAAAACAAATCAAGGTGTGAAATATAAAACACTAATGCAGCCTATCTTAGAAAAAGCCATACTGGCAGGGTGTTCTGATCATGGCACTTGCCTCTTCAGTTATCTCTAATAAAGATCTTCACAGTGCTGCAAAGCTTTTTATATGCCAACTTTCCAGCAGTCCCAAAACTTGACAGTGAACTAGAAATAAGCTTAATTAGAAATATTACAGGACTCATGGAAGGTACCCTATCCAATCACAATAAGATGTTAACAGTTTGTTAAAAGTAAAGTTGGTGTGGTTCTATTTATTTTTTTTTAAACCTCGTTGTGCTTCTTTTTTCAACGTTCTTGCCAGCTGTGTGTGTGTGTCTTTGATTTGTAAATAAACAGATGATGGACTGCAAGCTACTTGCAGAACCAATTTATTCCCAACTTAAGGTATACCAGTACCAAAAACATCCCAAAACCAAACACATGGATATAGAACTGAAAGGTGGTAGAGGATCTAAAAGCTGCAAGATGCTTCAGAAAATACGACAAATTCTTGAAACTCTTGTTTCAAAGTCTTACCTTGCTGTCTAGGCTTTTCATGGTTAACAAATCTAGGGTTTTTAGGGAATGGCCTGTAGGTGAAATGAAATAGAGGCAGACATGGATGCGAGTATCATGGTAGCTAAATAAAGAACGTTTAATTTTCAGTTCTTCCTGGAGATAGGCTTCAAATTGTGCATCTATATAATCCACTATTGGCTGATAGCTGTAAGAAATAAAATTTAACAACCAGAGATTAGCTACTCCTAAACAGAGCCAGACTAAGAAAGGAATTCCTCTTGTATTGTTTTGTGGATTTTTGCTTTACATGTCAAAAGGCTGCTCAAGTATTTACCCAGTACAACAGAAAATTAAAGGTACAGAGTAACTTAATCTCTGAAGGCTACTCAAAAAAGAATTGTGCACCTAATACAGACAAAACATTTCCTAGCTACTATTAGTGAAAAAAGCTACATAGTTACGATTATAACTGATCTTCCCAAGTGATGTTTTATAAACTTTTGCAATCAAGCTGTGCAACTGCAGAACTCTTAGATACAAGGAAGATACAAGAAACTCTTAGATACAATACAAGAAAAGAAAGAACATGCAATTACCAGTACAAAGAAATAGGACCTCCTTTATCTTCTGAAGATGAAGTACTGTACATGAGAGAGCTCTTAAACAATAGACAAAAATTGAAAAGGAGGAATGTAAGAGAAGAATGTAAATCTGATTTGCAATAAGTACAGTTTAAGTATACTTTATCCTACTTAAAACCAGACTATAATCTGCTTTCTAAAAGATAGTGTTGCTAGGTGTACAAGCAGCATGTCCTTACATTTCTGCCGCTACACAAATTTTATAAACCAGATCAAATGCTATCAAAATTCAGAAGTAGTTGTTACACACAAAATTAAAAGAAGGACTAAAAGGCAACTCCCCTATACCACACATCAAACCCTCTAATATCTATACTAATATCCACTTGCATCTCATTCATCCAAGACACTAGCAGTAGCTATTTTCCAGTCACCTCATAAATCATAGCTCTCTTGTTAATCTTAATGTGATTCTCTAACCTTCAGTCATAATTACCACCATTTCGGCACTCACATAGCACAAAGGACTGCTAAAATTCTTTACAATTAAGGTGAAGGAAACAAAATCTGCTGACACATAGTTCAATATTTTAAAATCTTCAATTCATAAAAGCAGAGACTCAAAAAAAGTTCTGAGAGACACCACTAGTGTGGTACCTTTACATCTTCTGATTAAGCTGTCCAACATAAAAAACAGAGGCCTTCAGCAATCCACGTGATGTTCCTTCCTGTTTAAGGTCTTTGACATGTTCCAATCAAATTGTTAAAAAACCTATAGATCTTCATAATCTACAGTACCTTATAACCTGTCTGGTTGTTTAAAAAGCCCCCTGTTGACCTTCTCCCTGCTTTCCTCCACCTCAAAAGAAACTCTAGTCACTATTACACATTTTATTTACATACATTTATAAAAGATTATATCATAAAGAAAGGGGCAGAGTTCATCCAATTTCTCAAATCATTTCCTAGACAAGAAGAAAAACCTATTTACTTTGGTACACAGAGAAAACAGTTAACCAAATATTTGGAACATAGGTAAGACAAATATTTACTACAGAGCCCAAAGAAAAATCAACTTGCAATTGAAGGCCAAAACTGCTGCATATGGTAGCAACAAGAAGGCACTTACCTATCTTCTTTGTTTATCTGGTCACCAAATCCCACTGTATTTACAATGGTCAGCTTCAAAAGAACATTACTTTCCTGGAGTTCGTAAGTCTGGGCTCTAAGTTGTACACTTGGCAGAAAATGCGTTGACACAGGGTCATCAAAATTGGTGTTAAACAAACTGTTTATCAGGGTTGATTTCCCACTTCCAGTTTCTCCTACAGTTAAACAGAAAGGTTGGGGAAGACATTTTGCACATCAAATAAATACCTGCTAAGCATAGAAAGTGTTATCACAGCAACTCAACAAATTTACATAAAAACTTGTCAACTGATTTCTCCAAGCAAAATGGTTGCCTGCATTTCTTTTTCATAATGAGCACTAAATATCTTTTAGTTAATTTTTTCATCCTTACAGACAAGAGAGAGTTACCTGCTAATGAGTAATAAGCAGAACAGTCTCTTGACACTTTGTTTTCTTTAAAGGCATGAACTAATTTCCTACAGATTTAAAAAGCTAAGTAACTAGCTGTGGAACCACGGGGTTCGACACAAGGTTTTTATGAATAAGGGTAAAATAGAGGAAACATTTTATAAGTATAAAAATACTTCAGTAACACCAGCTTGGAATTTTAGGATTTTTTGATCTGAAGCTATTTGTTACAGTACAGAATGTAGCCCAGTTTACTCAAAAGAATCCAAGAAGCTGCCCATAAATCAATAAATGCATGGCATCCATTTTCAACATTTTTGGTCTTCATATTATTTATGAAAATGCTAAATATAAAAACAATGGATACAAATAAGCAAAGCTGGGGAAAGGGGTGGAATTATAGTTCATGCTTAACATTAAAATAAGAGCTTAACATTGCAACGGGATTTAAATTTCAGTCACTTCTTAAGGACAGGTATACTACTAAAGCCTTAAACCATGCAGATACTACTTACCAATGCAAAGAATGTTGAAGCAGAAGCCCTGCTTGATGGATTTTTTAACCAGTTGATCAGGTAAACTACCAAAACCAACATGCCCGGACAAGGATAAAGTTCGATAGCCATCATTTTGCTACAGAAAAATCATTTTAAAGTATGTTAGTGAACTAAGTTGCAAAGCAATTAGCAATGGCAACAAAGGAACTCTACCAGTAAGCTAGAACACATTCATTATGACTTACGTGGAACCAACAAAAGCAGAAGTCTGAAAAAAAGATCTGTGAAATCAACCGTATTCCATGATTTGAGAAAACATACAGATTTACTTCACAGGACAATATGCAGACTCAAAGTCCATGTTTTGCAAAAAAAAAAAAAAAAAGAAACACGAAAAAAATAAAGCAGACAAGTCCAACTGAAAATGTAAACTGAAAACTGTTGACAGAAAACAGATCACGGTTGGCTTGCTCTTAGAAATAAAGAAAAAAATATTTAAAACCAATTTAAGCTGCAGAATTCAAAATAGAGACCATAATCACAGGAGGGTGTATGTTATAATCAGAACTCATTCTGAGTACCTAGAATTGAAATTGTTATTTATGTAAAATAATACATTATCTACACACCAGAACTCTAAGAGATAATATTATATTGTTAGAAATGTCTAGAGGTGCAATGCTTTCTCTTATGTTTCCAATCCACATGGAACTGGAAACCATTAATGGTTCCTGGGAACGTATATATAGCCAACAGTAGGAAATTTTTTATTTAACACTTACAAGCCCATAAAAGCACCACCTTTTATAACAGGTATGCATAGCAAGTTTCAGAATTCTTGTAGTTAAAAGGATATGGACATTCCTCACAGAAAATACTCATCCTCTTCTTGTTTCGCACAGGACTTCTTGTGTGGGACTACAGACTGCACCAACTCTCATTTTAGACTATTATAATCAGATAACTCCATTTTGGACTAATATAATGAGGAAATATGTGTAAGCAAAGTGAACAATTTAAAGAGAAAATATTACATCTTAAGGCTATAAAAAAAATAAATGTTCATTCAAAGCATGTCTGAAAAAAGAAATTTCTCGAGGTATTCTACCATATGGAAATTACTATCAAAAAGGGCTGAGAAACACTGAAAACTGTCAGTATCCTGTCCATTTAAAGACAAGCGTAACTGAGACAGAGCAGCAGCACGTCTAACAACTATAGTTACACAGTCTGATATTCAAACCACCTCTATCACCACCAATATAAGACAGCTCCTCCATAACAAACTGTTAAGCCTCCACACCAAAAGCCAGCACAAGAGGCTCAGCGTAACTGTAGAAGGGAAGCCTTTCACCTTCATGTCACCAGCCTAAATCCAAACCGTGCTGGGCTACCTTCAAAATCCCTGCATAGCCATTTGTTACTCTCCAAGAAAAAATCCTAGCAGAAAGAACTTTATTTCCTTCCAGTCCACTTGGATTTCAGTGGACAAACCACCAATACCCACAACCTTACTGACCATTTCCAGAGGTCGTTAGAGCACTGCCACATCATCCACAAGAGACTATGTCAGGATTAAAAAGCGTTTAGCTGAGGAAACTGGTATTACAGCTGTATTTGCTGCACAAAGCTAAGTGCAGAACCAGATGACTGGAGTCCTCATAGCCATTAACTCTGTAACTTCATTTTCAAAAGGAAGGCAGAGATTAATTACAATTTAGCAATTAAACTCAAAGAGTTTACTGTTTTCTGGAAAGGAAAATCAACAATAGTTAGTTCTTCCACTGCTATATTGGCTGTTTATCACTGAAAATTTGACCAAATTTCTGTGTGCAACAGAGGACAATGAGAAATAATAAATGTGAAAAACCAGGTGCCTTCTCTGTGTTCTGCTTAGAAAGCTAAGGCTATGCTTGTAACTTAACAGACGTCAGGCTGTATCACTACTTAAAAATTCCTACCAGATGGTTAATTTCTTTGTATTTCTAAGTTTCTCCCAAAGATGCTTCTTACAGATATGTATTGCAGTCAGGAAAGAGAGTAACAATTTCTGCAATAAGTATTTACACGATTGCCAAGACATTCTCAGATATCTCAAATGTGCTGCTATTTTAAGATAGCATATTTCATCTTTCTTCAGTATATAAAAGTTAATTTAATGACACTACACAGTTATGAGTGAAAATTAAAACCATTTTCCTGGAAATGTAAATATATAAAAGTATATGGCAAGTTCTAGGTCATTCCAGACACAAGACAAAAAAAATTGGCATAAGACAGAAAAGTCCTGGTAAGTTGTAAAAACAGCTTACAGAACCTGGTACTTAGAAGAACTTCCCCAACAGAAAAATTGTGTTTTATGCACAGCCTTCTTCAGCACTGTCTAGGGTGGGAAGAGACATATCATCTTCACTTTGTGCGTGCGGAGATGACACAAAGATATTAGTTGAGATAATAAAGGGAAAGACTACGAGAGCAAGACCATGAATCTCATTCACCCCATGTAGCACATAACACACAGGATAGAAGAGAACAAGAATTTCAAGCAAAAATAGTAATATTTGTATCATTCATGAGAACGTGTTTTAACATCTTGTCCTAAGGTTCTTGTTTTAAAGAGAAGACTGGCAAACTGAAGGATGATCAGAAAGAGATTCAGGGTCTCAAAAACCATTTTTACAGAGAAACAGTACAGAAATGTAGCCTATATAAGTTCTTTCAAGAAAATGGTGAGAGTTGACTTGATCACAGTACACAGAACGAGGAGATTTCTGGTTGCACACACAGGCAAAATAAAAAACTCAACACTAGATTAATAGCAAGATTTTTAAAAGCTAGAGACAGAAAGATGCAGAATCGATTTCTATTTAAAAATACAACTTTTTAAAATTTTTTTTTACTTTAACTGCTCTTAAACTGTTCAGACAGTTGTCCCAAGACACAACAGAGTCTTCAGGAATCAGCTTCACAAAAAATGCTGCAATAAAAGTTCTTAATTTAGACTTCAAAACTTTGAAGAAATACTGCACAGCTTAGCTTAAGACAGTCTCAGTCACGCTGATTTAGAAGCCTCCATTCTTGCATGTTTATACTTCTCCATGCAACAAACATTACAGTACTGAGAGCTACTGTTCTCATTTGGAGACTCGCCTCCTTCCACCTTCCTTACAGAAGAATCACTTTGTGAACCTGTTCCATCTGACATCACTCGGAGCAGTCTCTTAATAGAAAAGCAATAGCCTACATTTTTCCTTCTGAAATTTTCCAAGGGCATCACATGTCTCTCCCTCAACACCAGCACCTCATACAGCTTCACTCTGCTATGGTCTAACATATACACAGAGAAATTAAATCCACAAAACTGACCCTGTGATGCCTGCATTCTTACTATTTCTCAAAGAAATAATGCATCAACCAGTTGACAAGTTACTACTGTATCACGAGCTTAGAAAAATGGTGACAACTCAAAAATTAAGAAATACAAATCAAGCTGAAAGCAATTAAGTCACCAGATTAGCCAGTCTTTCCAAATTAGTATCTGTTGGATGGAGCAGCTAAATTGTGCTTGAAGACAGCATCTCATCAAACTTTATTCAGTGAGTAACTCAAAGTTTGTAATCTGAATGCGATGAGAGCTGTAATACTCCCATAAATACTTCCTGTTTCTCACTGCTTTCTCAGAATTCACATTCTCATCAAAATAGCACACTATGTAGATCGCTTGAGATGGTCCAAATCACATCTCGCTCCTTCCCTCCTCCCCTTTTTAAAGTGTTGGTAGCATAGCTTTCACAGAACTGCATCTGGATTTCTGCAAATTCAGTTAATGAAGTATATTGGTTTATATAAAGTCATCTTGCCCACTAAAAACAGCATGCAAAGAAAAATCATTGCCTGAGACAAAAGTAACTTTTTTTTTTTCTTTCAGAAACCAATTTTAAAAAAAAATCAGTTATCTTTAAAATTTGCTACCTATTTCAGGCTAAAACTGCACAACACTGGGCTGTTCCACAGCAAAAGCTGGGTCTCAGACTACATGCATCTGTGCAGGAGCCTCCCGCAGAACCAGCCTTGCAGTCCAGGCAAATAACTAGCTTGCCACTCTGCCTGTAGAGCTGACTGAAATTTGCCCTCCAAAGCTTGAAGAAAAAAGGAATCAATGTTCATGTGCTTAGGCAGGAGGTGGGGATCCTGCCAGGCCCCGCAGGCTACGCAGGCTGCGCAGAGGCTCTCGGAAGAACGCCTGGGCATCAGCCACGAGGGTGGACGTGCCCATGGGTGCTCCAAATGTGACTCTCTCAGAGCCCTGAGTTTTCCACTGTCATGAACAGGTGTAGACATTCATTAAACCAGAAAGTCTATTTTAATCTTCCAATAACAAATTGCATTACTCTCTTACAGTCAATTACTTTCCTAATAACCAAAGTTACATTTCATCCCATAAATATCAATGTTGCTATTGCCTCATAACACGAGGTAAGTAGAAAACTACAGATTCTGGAAGTAGAAAAATACTTTCCATTCTTAGGTAGTCAAAATCTAAGATGTAGACGCATAGTGTAGGCATGCATACCATTGACATCCCTCGATGTCAATACATGTGTGAGAGAGAGAGAGAGAACAGATGAAATGAGTAGAGGGAACAGAAAGGAAACCTTGGCAAAATAACACAGAACAGAACAGAAAATATAGGAGGATGAGGCAGAAGAAATAAAAAGAAAGGTCCATGAAGATGCAGAATAAGGAAGGAGATACATTAAAAATTACATGGAATTAATACATCAGTCTATTCTATAAAACAAAAAGCAACACACAGGAGTCAAGTATGGAACAAAACATTCCCCCCAAAAGGTGTGTAGAAAAAAGAAGTATTGCCCAAAAGACGATTCAATGAATACTCATTTGACAATTTCACTCACACCTGTCAGGTAATTTATTCAGTCTGACAGAAACAGTAGACAACTTTGAGGGATTGGTCCAAACGTCAGAACCCCAAGATCCTTCCCTCATCTCTTTCAAATTACTTCTCACGTGGCATTCTGGTACACCAACTATTTTCCTTTTCTAGCCTACTTCAACACAGAATACAGCTGAAGTTGCCTTATACCGTAGGTCACCACAAGATTTCCTTCACACATGTATATACGGAGAGCCCTTAGAAAGAACCTTAAAAAAAAAAAAAAGTGACATTTCTGCCCTATGTTTCTGTCTGAAAAAATCTGAGGCAGGACAGAATCTTCTTGAATGCCCTGAAATCACCCAAGATGGGCAGAGGAAAAAGTGACAGCCTTGTCAGTAGAGAATAGCGGGCACAATGTGCAAGTTGCCACTGAAGACAACTTCTGGGCTGTAATTTGAGGTATTTAGGAACAAACAAACAAGCAGAGACACTTTGCTAGTGTTCCAGTTGTGATGAGGTGATTTCTTCCCCAACAGGTATTTAAGTAACTTGAACATCTAGCACATGTAGTACCTGTTCCGCCACTGATGCCTATGGATAGATGTGGCAAGAAGCAGCAGGTGGGAATCAAGACTCGATGACAGAAAAGAAACTAGTTCCTCACAGCTACTACTCCATGCACCAGGCAAAGGGTGATGACAACAGTGCTGCTTCAGATAGGACTGATCAGCTACTGCCACGCAGGAAGAGAAAGTGTTGGGTTTTGCGGTCCGCACAGAAAGGCCTCTCTTGACCTGTGTGTTTTCAAGGAAGGAAAAACAAAGAAACGGAAATCTGGTGCAGCCCTCTGAGATGACTGTGACACAGAAAAATACTCATGCTGGTATCAGTACTGGTATCACAACTGCACTCACTTTCGGAAGATCTGCACCTCTTTGGCTGTGCTGGCTCAGCTGTGCCTGTTGCAGCTTTAGCCCTGTGTTTCCTGAAGAGCAGCAAGTCAGTCTTCATCACCCTTCACTACATCAGCCCCTTGTTGTTGATGCTCCTTGTCCGAATGAGAAAGCAATGCTGGTCTTGGACGCGACAATGGCGGCTGCTATCAGAAAGCCTCTTGGACTGCAACAAGGAATTATTTTTTTCCTTCTAATTCATCAATGACGAGTACTGTATGCTGTTGTATGGGGGCAATGGCTGCCAGAACTTTCCCAGAAGTCAAATTTTCAAATATCAGAAGTACTAAATACTTGCACCTCAGACTTTTTGCAGTCTGATTGTAAACTGATTTATAGAAGGTCAGACTGCGTTCTGAGAGTGATTTTACATTTCTTTCGCAGAACAACTGAAAACAAAATGTTTCCCAGAATGTAGTAAGAAACACTTTAACAATTATACAGCATGGGTTAAACTATGAAATATTATTTGATGTCAATATAAATATATTTTACATCATTACACTTACATCATTTATGTTTATAAACTTAATGCAAAATCACCCTCCTCCACTACAGAACTATGTTACACCTCTGTTTTTACAGTATTCGCTGTAAAGCTTTCCACATACACGCTTCTCTTTCTTCCCATACCAAATCTATCCACTTAGTGGACCCTCAGTCCTGCTGCCACTCACTTTTGCTGATTTACTGCATCTCTCCACACTCTTCACGCAAACATTAATTAGCAAGATCATTTTGTATTGTTTCTCGTACTTGGGTTCTTTTCTTTCCACATTTTTCCGGTCGCTCATGAGAGCCAGGCTGTCAAGTACTGACTCTCCATCTCGCTATATATACATACTACGTATGAAGAGAGAAAGCTTATATAAAGTTAATGCATTACACTACGCTACACTTCAACTCCAAAGGATTTGTACAGGCCTGAAAGAGAGTATGTGTGAAATGGAGCTCTCTGGGTGGGAGCCCCGACAGAAAGCAAGCTATGCTCAACAGTCAAGTTGTGAGCAAGCGGGGGGAACATGAATGAAGCCCTTTCACTCTCTGGCAGACGTTGGCCGGGACGTGGTCGTGCCCTGTGATGGCTCTAAGAATGGTCCAACAAATAACTCTTTCAGCAGCCAAACTCAAAGCAGCCCCTCTTCCTTCTCGCACTCCCACGCCACTCCTTCGGGTGTGCTGTCAAGAACCGGAGCGAGACACTGCCCCAGATGACAATCATTCCAAGGAAAGGAAACTTCAAAAGGGTGACTGTTGTTTTCCATTTTTTTTTTTCAGTTCACAGGACAACTTCGCACACAGCTCTACCGGCGTAACTGAGGTGTAGCAGCACGGTGGCAGGAATGAGCCAAGAATCACCAGAGACAAGTACTTCATCTACCTTCCTGCTACCAGAAAACACAAAAGCAGCCAACTACGCAGCCAGGGTGGAGGATTTTCCCCCAAATTCCTCCCACTTCATGTTGTTTCTAGAACCCTTCAGTGCTTTGCATTGCTGAGATGTAAAACACAGCTGGAAACTCAAGTCATAAGTGAATCCATTTATTCCACGTTCCAACCCGGAGCTAACGCTCCAGCACTCACGTATGGATGGGTTCCACATCTTAAAAGCACAAAACTGACAGCTTTGCCGTTACGCGTAAGAAAAGCATTTCTTCCAACGGCCAAGACTCAGCGCTACAACCTATTATTCGCAATACGCGACCTCTAAGAAGGGCGACAGCTGAAAAGGACAGCCTTTAAGAACACGGGTTTTCTTTAAAAGCCTGGCAACTCCGGGAACTACACGGCACTCCGAGGCTTTATTTCGCCTTCTAACCTAAGCCCCCCGCTGCCTTCTGACCCCCCCCCGGTCGCTGAAGCAGCC